GCCTGTAGTTGGACGGGTCTGAGCGGTCGCCTTTTTTAGGGATTGGGTGGACAAAAGCTGTCTTCCATGATTTCGGAACTACGCCTAGGGAGTAGGAGTACCGGAAAAGACGCGTTAGAACCGGTGCCAACTCCAAAGCATACGTCCTCAGCACAATTGGGGGGATCCCGTCAGGCCCACTCGACTTGTTGATGTCCAGGCAGAGGAGTGCTCTGCGAACCAAATCGAACATCCGGCATGGAGCACTCACACCACGGGATGGTCGGCGGTGTGTTCCCTCCGTCATCAAGAGTCGAATTGGACGCAAAAAGGGAGCCTAAAAGGTCGGCTTTCTCTTTTGCGGCGTGGGCCAGTGAGTCGTCCTCCCTGTGCAGAGATGGTAGTGATGGCTTACAGAAATTCCCTTGGACAGCCTTGGCGAGAGACCAGAATGCACGGGTTCCCGAGGGAAGGTGAACTAATTTCTCGCCAATTCTGCCTATGTGCTCTGACTTTGCCTTGGCAATAACTCTTTTGAAGGACCTGGAGGCGAAGTTTTACTTCTTTTTAAGTATGCTGGTGTTTACATCCCAAGTCGCCGAAGCCGCAGCCCAGGCTTGATAACAATCCTGCTTACTGCGTAATGCAGTCTTACAGGAGCGAGAGGCTGAGATCTACCTCCGATGGGTACCACAGATGATGGAATAAATGGGTAGGAAGCAAAGAAAGACCGCATTCCGTCCCAATCTGCCGACCTGTAATGCCAAACACGGCGGCAACCTGCAGAACGCAAACGCGAGTGGAGCGTGAGTGGCACCACACTCCGTATTAGACAATGGTCCGAAGAGCCAAGAGGGGCATCGACGGAAACCTGATATCCGTCCGGATGAGAGGTCAGCAGAAGGTCCAACAGGGAAGGTGTATGATCCTCAACATCTGGAATCCACGTAGGCGATGTAACCAGTTGTGTCAGACCATATTCCAAGGCAAAGTCATAAACAGATCTCCCCGCATGATCGGTTAAACGTGAACTGAGCCATTCGGCGTTGTGGGCGTTAAAATCGCCAAGTATCACGATCTCATGGGACCTATTGTAGCAAGGAATCTGTAGCCATTTGGACGTGGTCGATGAGTCGGTCTGTTTCGGCATTACCGCTATGGGACCTATAGAGACACCCGTCGACGCGCGGATGGTCGTCGCTGTCTACGCATAGCCAAAGGATGGACAGGTCCGAACCTTCAAGACTGCAGAGGCGTCGAGAACAGATGTTCTCTCTGATGTATACGCAAACTCCAGCCCGAGGCACAAAGGAGTGCTCCAATTTGTACCCCGGGTAGGAGAGATACGAAATATCAGCCGGAGAGGACACCTGCGTCTCGGTCAGAAAGAGCAAGGCTGGCTTCGCCGTCTCGAGATGGCAGTCGACGGCGTTTAGGTTCGAGTGAAGTCTCTTGATGTTGCAGAAATTCACGGATAGCGTGGCAGGGGTCGCCTTTAAAAATTATTTTTATGAAAACCATTTTTACAATTAAATTGAATAAGTTTGTAAGGATCGTGACACTTGGCGATCTGTTCTCTCTGGCTACCCCGTCAGGGATTGTGCGTGAAGATAAATAAGTAAGTAAATTGAATAAACTTTCATCTCAAAAATTTTCTTAAGTCATATATTGTCGGACTCTCAGATACAATATTGAGTGGTGTTTAGTGCCAACAGACAGCAATCGCGATTACTTTTTTAGTTATCACTTAGAGAAAAAAATAATATATAACTATATAATAGCGCTTGAAACTGGTTTCCCCGTTTAGTGGTCATATAACACAGGCTCTACTGAAATTGCCAACATTTATTTGAATGGATAATTTTCATCCCCTGCTTAGCTGTAAGGTAAAAAGTATCAAGCAAATCTTTTATTTTTATTTTTAAACAACTTATATGCCCTAGGAATAAATTTCTATAGGAAAATTCATCAAGCTACGATGGTGATATTTTGTGTTCTCTTATACAATAATTAAAAATTAAAAATCTTGTACAGCCGACTTCAATATAAGTTATTAAGAATAACTCAGTAACTATTGGTGTGACCTTGATCAAATTCATATGAGACCACACGAGATGTTTCAGCTTTCAAATAAAAAAAGAATCATCAAAATCCGTTCACTCAGTAAAAAGTTATGAGGTAACACACATAAAAAAAACATACAGTCGAATTGAGTACCGTCTCCTTTTTGGAAGTCGCCAGAAAATGAGGAAGCTCAATGTATGTATTGTTTCGTTGCACAAATGTAGATCAGCATTTGCAATGCTTAAACATTTAAATGCTATTTTATGGCTTCTACTTCGATGCTTAAATTAATAAATAAATAATTCAAAATATTAAGGAACTCTGTGGAATAGTTAGTAGCTACAGCATCTTGTTTTACTACAGAGCTGTTACTAAATTACATAATTGGGGCTGCCGCAAAAATATCGAGAACAGAAATGTGGATAGTAAATATTGGGTCGTAATTAGGGCAGGGGCATAGGTGACACGCGTGCAAGTAAGCGATTACTTTTTCCAAACATACCTAAGATTTGAGTGATTGAACATAACTAATAAGTTGTCTTTTTAAAAGAAAGATGGCAGTTCTATTTTACCGTTTAAATCGCCCTAATACTATCTTCACTAATAGTATATTAAAAATAAAACAAGTTATGTTCCTTACTTTATTACCGTACATTCAGTTATAGAAGGGACGTGGTAGCTCAGGGGCTGAGCGCTCGCTGTAAATTTCACAGTACGCGAGCAACCCGGATTCGATCCCCGGCGGCATCAATATGTTACGAGTAATTGCAATTTTAAGTACTGATTTAGAAAGAAAACATCGTGAAGAAACCAAGTCCAAGAAATAAAAAAAAGTTTCGAAGACATGTTAAGTTCACCAACACGCATTGGGGCAGCGCGGCGGCCATCCTTGTCCTGAAACCCTATCTGAAATGAAAGGAGGCCTGTGCCCAGCAGTGGGACGTATACAGGTTGTACCTTTAACTTTAACTATAACTTTTCAGTTATAAATATAATATTTGTTAATTTCGTTGAAAAATTTTATGTGAAACTTTATTTTCTGTGAATTGTCTTAATGTTAATGTAAATAATCGAACATGTATTGAGTCGAATTGTTATTGTATGACATACTTTGAGGGTCCTACAGGATATTATTTCGATCGAAATAGGATTTGTAGTATCTCCACTCAGCCATATTGCAAGTACACTTCAATCAGTGCAGTGCAGTCCAGCTAACAATCAATTACAAACATGAACGTGATTGTCTTCATATTGATGACAACTGTTCGTAACAAAGTTTTAGGATTTAACTGCATTTTTGTAACAGATTAAAATATAATTTAGTTGAACACGTCTGAAATAAAGGTCTAAATGTATTAGTGCGAACACATAACTCAACTTTGATATGTCGATGACAGTTGTTAAAACGAAATCACTGAAAAACAAAACACTGCAGCAATCATGGTATGGTTATTTTTTGCAAAATATGTGGGAGAAATACCTAATGCAGATCCTTTTTTCTTATTAAATTGATGGAACAATATATATATATATATATATATATATTAAACTGACCTACAGCGACATACAAGAAGTTAAAAGAATAGAAAAGAATTCAGAAAGACCACGCTCTATAGTGGTGGCTTTCTCCAGACTAGGGAAAATTATCTAAAACAAATACTTACTCGAGATTAGTAAGGAACTAAAAGTACCGCAACGACTGGAGAAATAGAAGGGAAACACAGCCGTTATTAAACATGTAATAATTTTATAGTATAAGTATATATATTATATGATATAACATATCATATATATACCTATAATCATCATCATCATCATTACAGCCCTTCACAAGTCCACTGCTGAACATAGGCCTCCCCCAAAGAATGCCACAAAACACGGTCCTGAGCCACCTGCATCCATCGACTTCCTGCATGTCTTACCAGGTCGTCACTCCATCTCGTGGGGGGACGCCCTACACTTCGCCTACCGGTACGAGGCTGCCACTCGAGAACCTTTAAGAAGTTAAAAGAATATATATCATTTATACCTATAATATGATATGATATAATATAATAATAATTAATAAGTTTATAGTACCAATTAAAAAAGAAAATAGAAAACAAAATCACCATAAAGTTGAAATCCATGTCGGAAATATTAAGTTTTAGGTGGTGGTGATATTTGATCGTTATCATTACCCGAAGACTGTCCCAAGTTTGCTAACCTATTCCGTGGATGGGTACAAAGTATAATTTCGAGCAATATGCATTACGTCAATTGACTTCTAATGTATTAGACATGCTAGTTATTGTAGGGTGGGATCACATTTACATTTAGCGGTATGACATAGTAACGTATCAGATTACAATTAACAAAGACAGTAGTATTAACGGTTATTATTTTTCATATTAATGACACGACTATATGTATTATTGTGTAAAATTTGTTATAATTAGGTGGCATATTTAGGTTGTACAAGCATTTTGCAGCGTCAAAGAAAGTATAGCGTGGCGTAGCTTCATAACTTATCTAACTAAGGAGAGACTACGATCAGGGTTTCTCTTCATAATAAAATCCATAACAAGTATAACGGATCAGTAGGCTAGACAGTTCAGTTAAAGAAAAAGAACAGTTCTCAAGTTGCGGATTTTCATCGTTACAGTATCAGGGAATATTATTCAAATTCACAAATATGGATCACAATTGAAATTACATAAATCTGGACCCATCCTTATGTACCAAGTTCCCGATATTTGATAATAAAAATATTTTGCATTCGTAAATTAAATAAACCGCATTATTCTATGACGTAAGGTAAACTTATTGGTTAACATTTTTTATGATGTGCTATTTCGCAATTTCGCTAATTTTACTACCGGTTAGTGCAGTCGCTTCATAATGACGTGACGGCTCTAATGCCGAACCTGCAGTATTTTTGTACCGTAAGCATACCTACTGCGCAAAAATAATTCGAAATGGCGTGTCAACCTAAACGCTCCGAAACCGTCGTAATCCACGAGTTCCTGGCGTTTGTTCAACAAAAATTGGACGTCATGGACCAGGTGTTTTTCCAGGACGAGATCATCCAAGCAAAGAAGATGTTAGCAGATTTAGCCGTGACCCAAATCCGTCTTATCACGCGTCACAGAGATGGACGCGGTAAGAAAGACCTGCAAGACATCTTCAGGCTATTCAATGAGACCGACCCTGATGACATCCCAACTTTCGTCGCGCGTGATCTCAACAAGCTGCCTCCCGTGACGTTCGATCACGTAGACGTCACCAGATTGTTGAAAAACATCACCACGTTGAGAGCCTATGTTACCGCCATCCGTTCCAAATTTGAGGAATCGGAACGAGCCGCAACAGAGCTGAGGAATGAAGTCAATATATTGCGCAACATAATTGCAACATCTGCAAATTCACCGCCGTTGCAGAATGTAAATACGACACGCGGTAACCGTAATAGTAGTCATATTTCACCGATGATTGCGACTCCGTCACGCGATACCGTCTGTCAGCGGGTTGATGACCGAGAAACTAGGGCGACCTCGGTCGTCATTGCATCACCACCTCAACCCTTGACTGAACCCATTGTACTCCTCCACCGAAGCCAACTTCAAAACAAGTGAAGACGTTTGCGGATGTTGCCCGAAAATCTTTACAACCGGCACCCTCTTGTGGTCGAAAGCGGAAGAATGTGGAAATCAGTTCCAGTGGTGACCCAAGACAAGATTGATAAAGACGGGTTTACTCTTGTTGAGAAGAGACGTCGGTCGCGACCCGTTTGTAACCAGCGTGAGACCGCGAAAATAAACGCGAGTATAACTCTGCGTGCTGTGGAGCCAACCATACAACTCTACATCTCCCGTTTGGACAAAAATACGTTGGGAGAAGACGTCCTGCGTTTCGTGGAAGAACGAAGCTGATGCCGCATTGAGGATCCGATCTCTTTACATTTGCAGCGTCTGGAGTCTAATAGGTCAACGATCTTCAAATCCCACGTACTCCAGGTTCCTGCAAAACATAAAGAGACATTCCTCGCTCCCGATTTCTGGCCCTCTGGGATAGTGTTTCGCCAATACAGGGACGTGCCAAAGAAAAAAGTTCCCTAAATAGTGTTAAGTTATGTCTATATTTTATATATATTTTTAGGTTAAGGTATATATTGCTATGGGCCAATGTTCTTAATTTTTAAGTCCTTGATGCCTGAAATAAAGTTATTGTATTGTATTGTATTGTATTATATGTGTCTTATAGTTCTTAATAATTGGTCAGTCAGCCATTCTTAGTTTATTGCCACTGCTATGTATTTATTTAAAGAAATGTCCTACTTATAAGGCTAAACAGAAGGGTACGGAGACGGGTAGTTGCAATTCGCCTCTTAGGTTTCATAAGAGGTGACCATGAGAGAGGACAGAAGACCGTACTGTTTTCGATAGAAGCGATTGAGCTGGCCATAGAAGTGGTGTCTAAGGTGGACTCATGAGTAAAATCAAATGGACCAACCTTCGAAAACAGCGGCGCGGCAGCGGCGCGGGGGCGGGCAACGAGCGGTGCACTCTAGTCATGCGGTGACTGCCCGCGTTTCTGCGTTGCAGTGTTGTGCAATTTATTTTTGTGACGTGTCGAAATGTCCTCGGACGTGCAAGAGCAAATTTATTTTAGAATACTACTTTTTAATGAGTTTGCTTCCACAAATGGAAAAATTCACGCCAGTACAAAAGATTAGCGTGAGACAAAAAATTTATCAAGCTCTTCTAGACGCATTAAGTGTAAATGAAGGAGGTACCCTTCTTATGAATCATATAGTGTTGAGTATTATACCCATACGGGTCAACACTAGGTATATCAACCTTATAATAAAAAATACTGTCTAATAATAACAAATCTGTAATTGTAGAAATAACTAATCGTCGTACTTCGATATCGTAATTTCGATAAAACTAGCCTTTTTTTTCCTTGCTCTATAATAGTGATTCACTTCTTCTTTTGCCCACAATAAATTGAGCGTTATGAATAAATTTAAATCAAAAAGATGTTGTCGCCGTTGTTCAGACATAATATAATAGAAACAAATATCTCGACAACACAGCCATGAACACATCGCTACGCCGCTATAGTGTCGCGCGATCTGCCCGCTGGTTTCGAGAACGGGTCTGCGTTGCCCGCCCCGCTCCCACGTCGCCACCGCCGCCGCCCCGCTGCCCGCAAAATTTGAGGTAGAGGCCTAATACGTCAGCCTAAGGGCTCTTTTGACCCACGTAAAAACGCTTGCATTGTCAATTTTCGGTAAAGAGTACGTTTGGCTGCGATAGTTGTGGCAACGCTCTCGTGTTAAGTCACGTACGTCATGATTGTGCTAAATAAATTAACACACCGATCGTAAAATTCTTGGGGCGAACTATTCCCTTGCGTAGTCAACATACGGTCATTGTAAAGAGCTGTCTCGTCTCTTTGGTCTGAAAAATTATTAATGAGGGCATTTTTTATGCTATCCCAATCTTCAGAATTGCCGTTCGAATTTATAATACGTGCGGCTGACTCAGTAATTTTATTTAAAATACCGTTTATTAGATATAGCTTAGCTAGTTCTCTGCCACTTGTATATTCCGAAACAATCTGATTACACAAATGAATGAACCTAGGCAATATCTTCGGGTTCCCGTCAAAATCTGGTACTAAACGTAAGGCTTTAAGGATAATGTCTACGTCTGTCATTTCAAGTGATTGATAATCTATCGAATCTACCGAGGAATTTATTGAATTATCTAAATCTACACTAATGTTTCTATTATTATCTAATTCGAGCCTACGAGCTAATCTGGCATGTGCAGGCGGCTCTCTAGAGGTAGTTTGCTAAGGATGGAAAATTTTGTGCAATAAAAATTACTACTAAGATAATTGAAAGCAACACACTGAAAAGATTTTTGAGTGTACTTAAATGAGTTTCATTCTGGTTCCTCTGGGATCGATGTCTGGATTTATCCTCCGATCTGGACTCCAGGTTCTTTTGATACCCGATGACTCGTGGCAGTTATAGCGATTTCGATGTTAGAAATTCACTGATAAACTACACTTGAGACTACTCGAGTATCCTACTGACTGCGCCAATTATGGATGTCGCCGCCGGAGGACCCAAAAAAACCAAAATTACTTTTATTAAATTTAATTTAAAAGATATTAAAACTAAAAAGAACTAATACTAATTAAATCTAATTAAACCTATTCTCCGCCCGATGTTAGAAACAAAGTGTGGTGGCATCTTGAAGTTTCGTCACTGTGAATCAACAGCAGCTACATTTCCCATCAGGTTAGTAGAATTGCCTCGCTGCATTAGGTTTCTTGTAAAAGTTCTATGACGGTTGACATCGCGTACGTCATTGTGAGTCCACGGCGACCGAGTTTTCCATCAAGTCAGCACAACTGCCTCGTGGAAGTAATTATGAAATATTGTGTGGGAAAATGAGGTAGCCGCGTAGTTCGCGGTTTTATAAGGGGCATCCATATATGTAACAAGTGGTCCAGGCTCACTTTTGTTGGTATCTTAACTTTTTTATCCTTGTTACTATAGCCGTGTAGTGGCGGTGTAAGAATATTCACCCATATCATCCCTTAGGTGTCGTAAGAGGCGACAGAGGGTAACAAATGAGGAGATGGGCAGCAGTGCCTTCGTAACAACGATTAAAAATAAAAATTTACTGCGGTTGCCAACTCTCTTTCCAAGCGTGGTATCTATGCTAAATATAGGATATAACGGTATCTTAGACTGGCCTGTTGGTCTAGTGGTTAGTGACCCTGACTGCTACGCTGGAGGTCGTGGGTTCGATTCCCACCCAGGACAAATGTTTGTGTGATGAGCACGATCATTTGTTCTATGTCTGGGTGTAATTTATCTATAATATTTATGTATTTAGAAATATATAAGTATGTTTATCAGTTGTCTAGTACCCATAACACAAGCTCTGCTTAGCTTGGGACTAGATGGCGTTGTTTGATAGTTGTGGAATATTATTAAAAAAGAAAACGGTTACTATAATACGTCTTTAGGTTACGAACCCTTTCTCATAATCCGAGCACGAGTTATCTTATGAAAGTTCATTGTCGTACATAACTAATCAGGGGATTATCCAAATACACGCTTAATTATATATATATATATATATATATATATATATATATATATATATATATATATATATATTATATATATATATATATATATATATTTATATACATATATATAATATATATAAGGTATACGTTGAAAGTACAAGTTATTTATCACATTTAACAACACATTTAAAAATTTTATGTTGTTATTGTTATCACGCAAACAGACTACAGAATGTTTTACAAGGAATTTGTAAGAAATTCTGTAATGTTTGTGAAAAAATAGATTAAATTTTTAAAATAATCATTTATATAATTATATTATAGTTCGCCGTGTATTATTTGTATCCGCTGCAGAATTTGTCCCGCGAACAAAATTTTTTTCTGAGATGAAGTATCCATCCTTGTTGTATCCATCCTTGTAGTTATTCAGTCGATATTACAGACATACACTTCAATTCTATGTAATGTATGGAAGTTATAGATTTAATATTTCCAAATGTAGTGAATGCCCTTTGGACATTGAGTACGTTGTGTATGAGTTGAGTATGACTGAGTGACGTTGTTGTTGAATGTTTTTTTTTTAAAGTAAGGCTATTTTCAATCCTTAACTAAAAATCGGAAAAATAGGAAAAAGTAGTCAATTATAGTTGACGACAACTGGAATGCTAAGAAAGTCAGCACCAAAATAGAAACAGGAAATCTGCTGGGGCGGGCAACTAGTCTACCAGTTCCCTGTGTTGTATTTCCTTACGAACTACGCAATTATTTGGTGAAAGGGACATATCGTTATTACAGATTTTAATTCATTGTTTGCGAAATTGGGCTTACAAAATGGAACTGAATATTTTACAGCTGTTTCATACATATTCGTGACACCTGGTTGCTGAAGCGCGGAACTCGTTAAGTTTAAAATGAAGTTCCAAAGTTTTGATTAGACATCATTATCTCGACCGAATGAATTGTATTTTGGTTAGCTTTATCAGCGATATTTGCGCTCAGATATATGTGAGGACTTGTAACTACTATCCTAATTATAATTCTGTGAACAAATTAACAAAGGTGAGAAACTTGTACGGAAGGGTAAGGCAGACAAAAAAGTATATATATGTATATAGATTTAGATTTAAATAAAGTCTTATGTGATAAGAAAAAAAAAATTCGGCGAAGTGTGTGTCGTAAATGTTCCGTAGTTGCCCATCACAATACGTAAACTTAGAAGGGCCTTGGAGGTGTTTTTGCAGTTTGGACGCTATAATGACTAAAACTTTGCCCAAATAGAACGATGGTAACTGAAGAACTTACTTTCCAAGCAGACTTAAATATAGGGAGTGGTATTAAAAAAATTAAAAAATCTTTTAGATTTTGAAAATAGTACAATCTAATCCTTCACAAGCCAAGTCCGTACAAAATGGTCATAGTTCCCTATCCATCTATTAGTTCCCGCCAGTGCAAGCGAAAATATACATGACCGTAACGAACCCTCCCGTGAAGCAACACTGCTCTAAGCTATCCTGTGGGTCGCCCGCGTACAATAACTAAAAAATAAATGAAAGTGGTATGTTAGTGTCGGTTTCTCAGCGATCGATCCTCTCTGTCTACCCTGCAAAGGAAAACGTAAAGCTACGGTAGTAATACATGAGTGGTTTTCTTCAAAAAATATTTACTTTTTACAATTTAAAATAACAATAGCTATTTTGGGTCATTTTCAATGGAAATTTCAATGAAATTTTTACTAACCAAGTGTATTTTATAAGTTGGTCGACTGTTACTCGTTAACTGGTTTAAGCCTTCGTAGCTGTGTTAGTAGCTATCTTACTTTTAGCTTCATTACATTGTGAACACTGTTCACATTTCCAAAAACAGTGGTTTAGTTGGTCGGGGGAGGGGAGGGTACCCATGATTCTTATAAAAAATACCACTTTAAACCTAAATATTTCGCAAACGGGCCCCTGAATCTAAAAAATGTTGTACCACGTATTTATAATCTCAGATATAGACCCTTCATATCTTTCTGCATGCGGCAAATTAACTACAATAACTCATATAATGTATCATTTTGGGTGTCAAAAGGAAGTTGCTGGAAAGTTAATTATACAAGTGAATTATGACCGCGTTGTATTACATTATTTTTAGTGTTTTGACTCCACACAATCTTGTTGCAGCCATAAACTAAACATATACATTTTGTATTTATATTTATTTCCTTTAATTGAATTCATACATTTAGGGATTTACTAATATTTGAGTTGAGTTGTAAGTATTGAGTCATAAATCTTAGAGTCTGCAATAGCAAGAAGTTGGTAGTAAATTTTTACAGTAGCTCATTCTTTGCGAAATTTACAAAACTTCCTACTTACCTTCATTAAGATTACGCGTGAATTTGTCACCTTCAAAGTCTCGATTATACAGATGTATGCTATCTTGATTTCACAGAAAATAACTAAATTAACTTGAGCAACTTCAAATTTTTTATATGAGATAATATATGGCTAGCGCAAATATGATAGAATATATTGGGTCGTAATTAGGGCAGGGCCACAGGTGAAACGCGTGCAAATAAGCGATTACTTTTTCCCAACATACCTAAGATTTGAGTTTTGACTTTTTATCGAAATCGCGACGCAAAAGTAGGATGGCAGTTCTATTTCATCGTTTATATCACCCAAATTCTATCTTCACCAAATGTCAATAGTGTTGAATAATATTGGTTTATAAAACAAAACACCACAGTAGCCATATTATGTTTAAGCGAATTTCCATGTGCGTACTGCTGAGAAATACGAGTGTTTGATTCGCGAATTGACGGAACGTTTCCAATCAAAGCCCTTGTCCTTGCCCTTGCGGGACAGTTTTTGTAAAGTATGTGAGAGTGTGGATTGGCGTTTCGAATTTTCCGTTCTTTATAAATAATAATAATATAAATAATGTTTCGTCATATCGAATAGATATGTAAAATTACGTATAAAATTAAAAGTGTATGTTAGGTATAGGTTAGGTATTTTGATAGTATATTAAAAACAAGTTATGTTCCTTACTTTATTACCGTACATTCAGTTATAGAAGAGACGTGGTAGATCAGGGGCTGAGCGCTCGCTGTAAATTTCACAATACGCGAGCAACCCGGGTTCGATCCCCAGCAGCATCAATATGTTAATTACAATTTTAAGTACTGATTTAGAAATAAAACATCCTGAGGAAACCAAGTCCAAGAAATAAAAAAAAAGTTTCGAAGACATGTTAAGTTTGCCAACACGCATTGGGGCAGCGCGGCGGCCATCCTTGCCTTGAAACCCTATCTGAAATGAAAGGAGGCCTGTGCCCAGCAGTGGGACGTATACAGGTTGTAGCTTTAACTTTAACTATAACTTTTCAGTTATAAATATAATATTTGTTAATTTCGTTGAAAACTAAGTTTATGTGAAACTTTATTTTATGTGAATTGTCTTAATGTTAATGTAAATAATCGAACATGTATTGAGTCGAATTGTTATTGTATGACATACTTTGAGGGTCCTACAGGATATTATTTCGATCGAAACAGGATTTCTAGTATCTCCACTCAGCCATATTGCAAGTACACTTCAATCAGTGCAGTGCAGTCCAGCTAACAATCAATTACAAACATGAACGTGATTGTCTTCATATTGATGACAACTGTTCGTAACAAAGTTTTAGGATTTAACTACATTTTTGTAACAAATTAAAATATAATTTAGTTGAACACGTCTGAAATAAAGGTCTAAATGTATTAGTGCGAACACATAAATCAACTTTGATTTGTCGATTATTGAGGTTTTTCAGTGATTTCGTTGAAACAAAATCACCGAAAAACGAAACACTGCAGAAATCATGGTATGGTTATTTTCTGCAAAATATGTGTAAGAAATACCCAATACGCATATAGATCCTTTTTTCTTAGTATAAATAATTTATTAATACAATTAATAATTAAATAATTAGTAATAAGTTTACAGTACCAAAGTTGTGTATGACCGGTGTTTAATCCAATAGGCAACCGTGAATGTAGTCAGATGACACTTAAGAAAGCAGAAACATGCTTCATATACGAGTATGTTTCATTTGTAAAAAGAAGAATGTTAAATATGCCTCGTAGCTGCATCAGAAAATAAAAACCAAAATCACCATAATTTTGAAACCTATATCGGAAATATTAAGTTTTAGGTAGTGGTGATATTTGATCGTTATCATTACCCGAAGACTGTCCCAAGTTTGCTTTCGAACATGAACTTATTCCGTGAATGGATACAAAGTATAATTTCGAGCAATATGCATTACATCAATTTACTTCTAATGTGTTAGACATGCTCGTTATTGTAGGGTAGGATCACATTTACATTTAGCAGTATGACATAGTACCGTGTCAGTTTACACCTGACAAAGACAGAAGTATAAACGGTTATTATTTTTCATATTAATGACACGACTGTATGTATTACTGTGTAAAATTTATTATAATTAGGTGGCTTATTTAGACGGTACAAACATTTTGCAGCATCAAAGGAAATTATAGCGTGGTGTAGCTTCATAACTCATTTGACTAGGGAAAGAACTACGATCAAGGTTTCTCTTCCTGATAAAATCCATATCAAGTATAACGGATCAGTAGGCTGAAGTGGCAATGTGCCGGCTAGACAGTTCAGTTAACTGCCAACCGATGGCAAGAACGGTTCTCAAGTTGCGGACTTTTATCGTTACAGTATCAGCGAATATTATGCAAATTCACAAATATGGATCACAATTGAAATTACACAAAAATGGACCCATCCTTATGTACCAAGTTCCCAATACATGATAATCAAAATCTTTTGCATTCGTTAATTAAATAAAGCGCATTATTCTATGACGTAAGCAAAACTTATTGGTTATCATTTTTGTATTTTAGTTTTTTAATAATTGGTCAGTCAGCCATTCTAAGTTGATTGTTATTGTTATTTGAAGAGATGTTCTACTTATATTGCGGAACAGAAGGGTACGGACACGGGTAGTTACAATTCGCCTCTTAGGTTTCGTAAGAGGTGACCATGAGAAGGACAGAAGACCTTTCTGTATTCGATAGAAAGCGGTACGTAAATTGTTTATGGTTTATGTGCAACAGCGACCAAGACTTCTATTAATGTAATCGTCAATCTGCCCGCTAACCGTGGCGATTACGGCAAATTTTTCCAACAATGAGAGAGCCTCACATCCAGCAGTGAACATTTTTTGGTTGACAAAGCAGAAAAACCCATTTTTTTTTATCTATTTGGATTAAATGACCCAAATTACCCTTTATTCCACATAATTTCAATAATTTTACTGTGAGAAACGAGTAATACGAAAGGCCACGTAAACAGTTTTATAAATAAAGATTTTTTTTTGTATGAGGCACTGGCCTGAATTGATTTTTTTTTATTATTTACAAGTGCAAACACGAATGTTCCAATTTCAGTTTCCCTTTACTGTTTTTACGAGCTAAATTGCGTACCTGTCTAAAGGATCGCGTTCCGTTATCAAATAGTTCTGCATAATTTGCTAACATTTTCGCTTGATGATTTCAAATGTAGCCTAAAACTGGACAAATCGTTTGATAGGCTTCAAATGTAATTTATGGATCAAGGCATCATATGAGGCAACTATGCACCGCTTTTATAATAAATTTCAACACGGTCGGCTAACTTTAAGAGATTAAGAAAGAAGTAATAGAACATGCTAGCAAATGAAAACAGCCTAACCTCTCCGCTTCATGTCCGAGGTGCGCAACTTAATCAACGAGAATAGACGAATTGCATATGAAGATATTCCTACCTATTTTAGATTGAATCAGGAAGCGTGCTCGTGAATTCACATTCACATCTTAGCGTTAGATGTTCATATCAATTGACACCGATGCTCAGAAGCAGGCCTACGCAAATTCTACGCAAATGGTACCGTGACAGGATTACTAAATTTGGAACAGACTCGTCTTAGCATGTATACGACATTATTAATATATTCATATTATAGGTGATGAATCTAGCATGTATCAATATGATCCAGAAGCGAAGCGTCAATGCCAACGGTTTGGCGGTTTTAAAATGAAGCAATGCCTCCCAAAGTGAAGCGATCGAGAAGCGCAGGGAAGATTGTGAACCCTAGTTGTTTTAATTGGATAGAAGTATAATGTTAATTCCTATACGAAATAGAAGTAACATAAATTTTGAATGGTATACTCTCAAATTCTTGCAGAAGTGTTAATTGCTGTGAGAAACAAGCGAATAAGCACGGCGTTCCGCAGGCTAGTGCTTCTCCATGACAACGCGCTCGTGCATTTAGCGAGGGAATAACAAGGAACTTCCTGGACAGTACATCGGTTGACGAAGTCACAAGAGTTCATTTCTCTCCCTAAAATAAAAAAAAGTCTGTTGAAATGGATACAGCTTATTTTATCGCCGGAAGATGCGCTTGAAGCATTTGAGGAGGTCGTGTGGTGTATGAAGCGAACTAGTGTTTCATAAATAAAACTATTTATACGAATTTAATCGCGTTTAATTTACTATTTGAATTCCCGATGCTTGGGACGTCAAACATCTCAGTACCCCCCGTGACCATGGATTGCTGTAAAGCACCCGAAATGTCGGGAATTGAAATAGTAAATTAAACGCGATAAAATCCGTAAAAAATAGTTTTATTCAATTTGTAGTGTTCGCGTTAATATAAGAATCATAGTGTTTCATATATTACTTGAAGCGCACTAAGCCTTATAAGGTGTTTTAAGAAAACTTATACAAGATACCTTTTGTAGTTTCGCATAACTTTTTGAGTGGCCCACGTGGTAGATTCAAAAACACATAATTACTTACCTTTATAATCTATTAAGAATCAAAATGCATTAATATGCAACATATGTAGTCTTCTTATCTCTGAAATTTAAGCTAGAATGCCTCGTTTCCAGTAAAAAGATTGTCCAGTTTTCTAAATGGTTTGTGCGACACCCATCGCGAAACTATCATCATCACGCGATGATGTTCATGTTATTTCACGAGAACGATTCCTGATCCAATCTGAAATATTTGCCGAATCTCTTTATACGCAATTTGTCTATTCTCTTTATTAATTAAATTGCGCACTTTCGAACACTCCATTTTGAATACGAATCATGTTTTCAAAATGGAGAAACTCGAACTTCGTTCGGTACAAAACGTGTTTTTGAAGAACTCCAGTCTACTTTAGCAGACTGTGCTCCGTCATATTCTACGGTGCCATACTGGTGCGCTGAATTTAAACGCGGCAGAACCACCTGCACCGTTTACCCCGCTAGCCAAGTGATTCAAGGCGTCTACGTCCGCTGGAATAGTAATGGCCTCTGTCTTCTGGGGAAGGTATAATATTGATTGACTATTTAAGTAAAGGAGAGACAATAACCGGAGATTATTATGCATTATTACTCAAAAATCTACAGCAAGTACTAGAGAATAAACGTCGAGGAAAATTGCACGCTGGAGTGCTTTTTCATCATGATAATGCCCCTGCGCGTTTATCTGATGTTGCCGGCGCTGCTATTCGAACTGCTACGTTTCAGTTGATGCAGCACCCACCATATCCGACCTAGCTCCGAGTTTACTCACTTAAAAAAGCACTTGCGTAGTATAAAATTCGACGGCGACGAAGAGGTGGTGTGTGCTGTAGAGGCTATTATGGAATTGTTGAATAATAAGCGTTTACACTTCTGTCTTTGTTAGACGTAATCTAATACGGTACTAAGTCATGATACTGCTTAATATAAATGTGATCCAACCCCACAATATCGAGCATGTCATAAGAAATCTATTGATGTAATGCATATTGCTCGAGATCATGCTTTGTAATCATCCTCGGAATAAGTTCATGTTCGTCTACGGGTTATGATAACGATCAAATATCACCACTATCTAAAACTTAATATTTTCGACATAGGTTCCACTTGTATGGTGATCTCACTTTCTATTTTCTGATAGATTAGATACAGCTGATTTTGTCGCCGGAAGATGCGCTTGAAGCGATTGAGCTGGCCGTAGAAGTGGCGTCTAAGGCAGACTGGTAATAGTATTTTCAAAATTACTTAAACGTGAAACATGAAACTTTATAAAAATGCTTATTTAAAAAAAACTTATACCAGAGACCTTTTTTAGTTTCTCATAACTTTTTGAGTAGCCCACCTAGTAAATGGTATTGCCCATAAATACCTACTTTTATACTCGATTAAGAATTAAAATGCATTAATATGCAACATATCTATTCTGAAAATTAAGAAGGAATGCCTTGTTATACATAAAAGGGTTATCCTTTCTCGTCACGCACAATACGAAATACAGCAGTACTATTCTGCTTTTTAAGCTGGTGTTTTGTGCGGTACTGATTCCCCGATTATAAGTTGAGCCATTCATAATAAAGACATAACACATTAAAAACATGGCTGAACTACATTTAGGTTTTTTTTTTAAATCAAGTTTCTCGAGTGATAGTCTAAAATAGACCATTTGTCGTAGACATTTTGAATTAAGGATATAATAATAGAAAACTTAAAAGATATTATAACGGGTATAATACCTTTTAAGTGTATAGCACATATTACTAATAGATCAAGATAATTTTCATTATTAAGCACCAGTTATATTACATATTACTATACTAGAAACTTCAATTAACCGAGAAATCTCTTACAGTGACAACCTTATTAATTTCGTCGCATATTAACTACATACTAACTAGCTATTATGTACACCAGCACATATATTTTTCTTGTTATCTCTCTCGTTGTAAGAATGATTTGCAATGACATACTTAGGTTTGGATGAAAAATTTTTCATCTAAGGAATCTAGAATATAATGCGAGGTAATTGTTTTTTTTTATAGGATAGGGTGACAAACGATCATACAGTCCACCTGATGGTAAGTGGTTGCTGTGGCCCATACACATCTACATTTATCCTCGTATGCGAATCAAAATGCAGATGTGTTGTCACCCATGAGGACTAAGATGGAGTGCCTCGTTTCCAGTAAAAAGGGTCTCCGGTTCTCTACACTCACCATACAAAACACAGCAGTATTAAGCTGCTATTTTACGTTGGTATTCTGTGAGAGCGTGGTCCTCCCCGGTCGAGCCGACCCATTCGTGCTACAACTATTCTACTAATACGAGTATAGCTGCAGCATGGCTCTACCACGTAAAAACGTTTTGCCATTGCATTTCGTATAATCGCCTCTAACCACACTTACTTTGTATATTTTAACGGCACCATCGTTTAGAAAAAGATCATATTTAAATACGAGTATAATCAATATTATCTTTAATCTATAAAATCTATATTCTTCATATAATATATTTCATCTTCTTTGTTTGAAGTTGCTTGCAGGTCTTCATGGACAGTTTTATAAAAAATCACCATACATTCCTTGGAAACACTAGTAGGTATACTAGTAGTATGGTAGTGTTATCATGAGTTCCCACGACACTGTACAAGTCATTATTTGTATCCTGTCTTAAAGAATTCATGATTTTATCGTTGTTTTCAACCTAAATACATAGATAGCAGATTTATACATTTTTTACAAACTAAACTGGTGCCTCAATTTGAACGTTTTCAATAAATACTAGATACAAAATCAATTATATCTGCGTTGTTTTCAAAGAAGAAGGAGACGTCTTCATACATTCTTGGGCCCAAGTGTTAACATGATGAAAGTAGCACCATTTGAAAGCGTATGTATAAACAATTCATGGCTGAAAGTCTGGCAAGATTTGTCAATCTAGGAGCTAAGTTGTTGTAGCATAAGCAAAAGTGAGATTATCTATTACCTACATTGTAGCAAGTGATTTTTTACTGTTATTACACTGTAACAGGCTATTTTTCACTATAATTATTTTAAGATATAAAAGCAGGATCAGTATAAAATCACCAAACAAGCTGTAGTTAATAATGAAACGAAATTGTGAAACGATTAACAAAAGTTAAAACAACAACAACTAAATGAAGTGAATATTAGGGATATCGAATTGAGATCGATTACTTGAATTGTTGTTTTAACTGACTTGTTAGAATGATGATATTTTGTATTTTTTTATTTTTTAACTCCCTAGTTAACACAGAAAAATAATCAAAAATAGATATTAAAATTAGTGACCGACCGAAGGTTCGGTTTCGGTTTCAGTTTCGGCAAGTTTCGGCAAAAAATGTAGTTTCGGTAATAGTTTCGGTTTCGGCAAAAAATGTGCCGAACCTTCGGCGGCGCCGAAACTCAGTGTTCGTGGGTTATCGTGCGTCGTTCGGATGAGATCGTGACTCGTGTATTATTCATAATTATACAGAAACAGAAACTTTTTTATTTAATATAGATTATAAATAATACTTATTGAAAGTCACTGTTTTGTTTAATTACCACTGATTCGAAAAAAAACCTCTGTCCTTGGAAGAACCAGCAAGAAACCCAGCGGGGCTTTTTTTTAAATAACAGCTTACAATCAGAGGCGTAGAGTGGATTAATATAAACATGGGCGAAGTTGCATCAGCGAGGCCCCTTTTCTTTCGTTCCAAGGGTCTTACCCAATAGATCCTACCAAACATGGTTTGACACGACATACCTACTAATATCTATTAATTCCTGACAAGTTTCGTATTCCGTTAATGTAACAGTCGCGGTCTTTGAAGGTCTTTGAACGGCCTCGCAGTCACACTTAAGAGAGGCTGCTTGCGAGGCCCCAAACGAACACACTTAAATTTGTGACTTTCTTTTTCGAGCGTATAAGTGATCAAATTAATTAGTCATCTGTGGCAAAGTCTGGGGGCATCGCATTTTAAGGGGCCTCTCGAGGCCCCTTTATGTGCGAGGCCGTAGAGGAGGGCCCACTTCGTCCAAGCCTAGCTACGCCACTGCTTACAATCATGTATGTAACACAATTAACAACACAAAATAAATTAGAAATAGCTTGGTAGTGATCAGCTCATTCCTAGGGGTTATTATAATCCATAAATTCCTTAATATTATAATAATCCTTTACAAACTTATTTCATTAAAGTTTTTGAACTTTAAGCAGGTTTTGTATATTTCCTGGGATTTTGTCAAGTTGTGTGTATATTGTGTG